CACACACACACACACACACACACACACACACACACACACACACACACACACACACACACACACACACACACACAGCTGCTCGGAACCATGACAGAAGATGACGGATACAGTTGTCGCGGAGGGACAAGTAAAGTTTAGGGATGGAAAAAAGGTGAGTTTCTCCAATATTCTTCTTGTTTTTTTAACTTTAACATGTCTTTCCATACTTTAGCAACACATATAGGAATCATTTTGTAATGTATTGATTCTAAACTCCCTCACAGTGGAAGAGTCGATGCGTCGTTCTTCGGAAGCCCTCTCCGGTCGCAGGTAGGCATGTGAGGCGGTACACACCACTTAGAGTCATATTATTCCCACTTAAAATGCGCACATTTACACAGAGACCATCACATCTGCGCCATTTAGCACTAATATGTTCTGCTTTTCCGCTGTTAAACTAATAACAACGTGTTGATTGGTCACTTGGCTGTGCGCCACAGGAGCGCATAACACATCATATCCCCGTCAACATGTGGGGATGGCACGCATCTGAATTGATTGAAATAACCAACTTCACTTTTTAAAATGTTCAGACAAATTAGTAATTCCTGCGCCCTTCCAATTAACTGTCTGGACCTCAAATATCTTTCTGGTGCCAGCTTGATTCCAGGTTAATTTATTTGAAAGCCCGGCTCCAGCCAAAAACGTAAAGTGTGACATTGCCAAAGTGTTGACAGAGGTATCTGTCTGCTAACAGCATGTCTCAAAACAGAATCGAGTTTGACTTGAGATGCTGTGTGGAGGACACACTGTGCCCCTCTGCATACATAAACAAGTGACTCAAGCTGTAGCACACTGCTGTGCCCTTGAATGCATTAGGTATAAAATGTATTGTACTCAGCAATGTATGTGTTCATAGTGTGTCTTTATTCATCATCAGCTGTGCCAGTGGATCACTTCATAGTTTAGGGTTTGTTATGGCAGCTGTTCAATAAACATAGGCAGCAGGATTACAAAAACGGGACTCCGTTGTTATTCTACATTGTGCTATTAGTTCAAAATGGACTTTAAAGCCTGTCTGTCTTTTAAACAATCTTTCTGTCTCTGCTTCAGACTGCCTGTCTCTGCTGGTGTACAAAGAGAAGAAGAAGAAAAAAGGGAAAAGGGAGAATGGCAGCGGTCACAAGAAGAGGCTCAATGTAACCCTGGAGGTACGTTCAGACGCAAAACACCAAAGGCTTTTTGCCTCTGATCTAAAGGGCAGAGTTGTTGCAGCTTTTTAATGTTGCTGCATCACTCACCTGCTGCCACATTTACAGAGGGTAGTCCAAATAAAGTGAATGCCACATAGACGGAGAGTATAAGAGCTTGAGGGTGACTTTCGTAAATTATAAGCATTGCTCAAAACATTGTAAGAGAACAAAAACAAGGACAATATTCCAACACAGTAAGCGACAATAAACAAAGAGGAACGATTCCTTCTGCTGTAATAGTTCCCCCACCTGACCTTAACCAACAGAGAGGTTACTCTTTTGATTTAGGTGATAAGACTTTGGAAAACAAATAAGCTGATCTGATCTTAGACTGATGTCTGACTAACTGAGGGTTTAATGAGAAGCTTGGCCAAGGAGAAACAGAATACGATACAAGCGAATACAAGAGTCCAGTCACATTACATGTAACCATCCATTCTTTGTCAATTGTCCTCCTAAACACGGCCTGTCAGAAGAATCTTTATCTGAAGATGACTGATTTCGATGACTCCTTAATTATCGGTCAAACTAATCTTAGACGTAAGACTTTATATAATCACTGTCTCCGACCTTCTATCTTCTGTTCCTTGCAAAGAGAGCACTGTGCCAGTCTTAACCACTACCAGCTTGGGTAGACAGCTCTGTGTGTGACTATACTTGGGAGAGAATGACCTGACACAAGGAGAGATATCTGACCTAAGACCTGCTGAAATGATTCCTATCATGAAAAGGACCTTCTAATATTAAAATATGCATAACGTCTAATGTTTGAATATACAAATGTAGGTATTAAAGGGGCACTATTATGCTTGTTGGTCTTTTCCCTTTCCTGTAGTGTGTTTTGTAGGTTTTTGTACATGTAAATGGTCTGCATTTGACCAATCACACCAGAGCCAGCAGCAATCCAATCAGAGCAGACTGGGCTCTGGTTTCAGACAGAGGGTGAAAAGAGGTGCTGCAGCACAGGAAGTATGAGAAAAATAAAGAGCTTTTTGAAATTTTTTAGCATATGTCCTATTTTATAGATACAAATTAATAAATGACTCAACATTGATATCATGGAAATAATACGGAGTAAAAGAGAATAAACAAACTAATCTCTAAGTGTGGTTATCTCTTTCACCTCAGGGTATCTGTGGGGTGGAGCCGGGCCCCGGGTACGACGGGGTCTCCTACAGCCTCTCCATCCTCTGCCTGGCACACACGCTGGTCCTGGGCTTCAACAGCCGAGAAGCCCTGCTGGCCTGGGACACTCGCATCCGCTACAGCCTGGGAGAAGGTCAGTGCTGCGGCCTGTGTGGATGTCACAGTCCTGAGTAACATTAAAGTGTGTGTGAAGGATTCAAACAAGGGGAAGTGGGCTCAGTAAGCTGCAGTTATCAGTGGAATCCCAGAGAGTTGCTTAAAGCTGAAGAGGAGGTTTTTTTTGGAATGATAATCAGCCTGTTTTGGTATTTCTTTCAAGGAGTGTTTGAATCAACATTAGTATCTCAGCTATTGCTTCATCAAGCTCCAAAGTCCCCTGTCAACTTTTAAGCCATGTTTTCACAATACACTGCTGCATTATTGAACCATTGTAACCTTAAATGTGAATTGGATTAAATATTTGTGTTGATCTGACATCTGGATCTTAAGTTATCAGAGAATCAAGCTTAGCTAACATTAGCAGGAAGCTTGTAGCCTCTCCATCCTGTGTCCACCTAGCAAACATTGTTTTGATCATGAGCAGAACATTCCTTACAGCATTGTGAGTTTAAAGTGACATCCGATGCTCCATGACCTCCATGACCCAGTTGTTGTTGGCCTTTACATTTAAATCCAGAATGTGGTCATATGCATGCAGGGTAAGAACTTCTCTAATCCTTTGTAATTGGTTTGCAACAAGGTGTATATACTGTGTGTAACCAGGCTGCAAAACACAGTTCACTGGAGGTTCCTTGCCAGAGGGGAACAAAAAGATGATGATAAAATCTGTCCTCCATCACTTGGGCTCTTCTTTATCTGCAGGATCTGATGTCTCAACTTTACTTTACTTTGTGTTCAGTGGAAAGTAGTGAGCTGAGGGAAAAAGGTGTACAAACAAAAAGCCAGAGGACACTGGATCCCATTTTATACACTTGAACTGCACTAGAGAGAAGTTTCCTCATCCAACCTTTAAGATTGTCTTGATATTATTCTAGGTGTAGAATTGCATGCTCTGAAGCAAGTAAAAAAAAAAAAGGACATAGTGGCCCCTCCTGTTCTTAGCCCTGAGAGACCTTCCCTGCATGTTAAAAAGTTAGCAAGAAGAGTAAAAAGAGTCAATCGTTTGTATTGATGATACCATCTTTCACTCGTACTCTTCCACCTGCGCTCATGCCAAACAGCTTAATGGTGCACTTTATCTCTTAATAAAATCTCCGGCTTTCAATTATAAGTTTGCAATGGTTTTATCATTCTAACTTTGGCCCTTTACAAATCACTTTTTACCTCTGTTCAAACTTTTTAAAAACAATTTAAAATTGTCTTATTGAAAAATGTCCATTATCATGAATATTTAAAATAATTACAGTCCGATTTTTTGCTGTACTTCATAGCCGAAATATGAGTTGAACAATAAAATGTCTTGTGCTGCACCCCCATCCTTACCCTTATCTTATTTCGCATAAGCGTTTTTTCCCAATTTGAATGTGGCATAATGTAATCTCACTGTTGAAAAGCACAAACAGCAGTTTCTGCTTTTATTAAGAGTTCATAACAGAGAACACTTCCCAGCTCCTTTTCTTTTGTTCTTTCCTTTTCTCCTGACTGTTGGAATACATATTTTATCTCCCAATATAAAACCCACTGCTAAGAATTCCAATTTAACTACAGAAACACAGTTTCTTGCTCTGCTTCCTTTTGCTGAGAATCATTTTAAACACATACACTATTATCTCTATACACTGTTTTCTTTGCCCGACAAACATCTATTTCATGCCTGCAGTTTTTTCCCCAATGTGGAAACCATTTCCCTTTAATGTGCCCTTCTTGCAAATTGTGAACACTTTACATGGCTGTTAACATTTACCAACGCAGACTGATTGCTTTTCTTCAAGGCAGCCTTTGGTTTCACACACTTTCATTATGCTAGAAAAGCGCTTGCTTCAGATCAGCACACCAACACACATTACATTACATTACATTGCATTTAGCTGACGCTTTTATCCAAAGCGACTTACAATAAGTACATTCGACCAGGAAGATACAACCTTGAAGAAAACAGAATCATATAAGTACATCAGGTTTCATAGAGTGTGCCTAAACAGTCTCAGTGCTACTCAACTGGCTTTAGATAAGCCAGTCCTTTATTAGTATATAAGTGCTTTGTTAGTAATTCTATCTCTCGAAGTGGAGTCTAAAGAGATGAGTTTCCAGTCTGCGCCGGAAGATGTGCAAGCTATCTGCTGTCCTGATGTCAATGGGGAGCTCATTCCACCATTTTGGAGCCAGGATAGCAAACCCACGTGTTTTTGCTGATGGGAACTTGGGTCCCCCTCGCAGTGCGGGTACAGCAAGTTGTTTGGCCGATGCAGAGCGAAGTGCACGTGCTGGGGTGTACAGTTTAAACATGTCCTGGATGTAGGAAGGGCCAGATCCATTCGCACACACCACCCGCTGTTTCCCTCAGCTACATCTTTAAATGTTTAGCTCCATGCAAACCATTCTGCAGAGGAGCTCTAGCAGAACCTTTCAGTCTGTTCTGCAGTGAGGAGAAGTGTTCAGATCACAAACACTTATTTGGAATGCTTTCTCTTTACAGAATTATTGTTTTGTTCTTATTCATTTCCTGTCATTACCACTTGTTTAAAAATCTCCTACAGTATACTAGCGGTGAAGCACATACACACATTTACATACTCTATGTATGGGATTCTCTGTGAGAGGGGGAGACAGGCCAATGCACCAAAAAAGAGCCATCTGCACCAACTGAGCGGTGACAAATTGCAGGCAGCAGAGCTTAAAGCAGTGCTTAATCCTCATTACAACAGCCATCACTGTACATGTGTGTTAATGTCATGTGTTTTTGATACGCTCTGTGGGCTTTTTATTATTATCTCACCTCATTTGTTGTGAGATAAATGTGTTTTGTGTGCTTTATGATCAACGATACTTCACTTATCGTCATTTGTCTGTTTGACACACACTCTTCTTTTTCAAACGTTTACCCTGTTCTCTCCTTCAGTCCACAGGTTGTGTGTGAATGTGGAGCCAGGCACCAAGCTGGAGAGCGGCCCCGCCTCCCTCCACCTGTGCAACGACCTGTTGGTCCTCACCAGAGGCGTCCCTCCTGTCATCATCGGCCACTGGAAGCTGTCGGCGTTGCGTCGATATGGAGCGGTGCCAAACGGCTTTGTGTTCGAGGGGGGGACTCGCTGTGGATACTGTGAGTAATCCCTGCACTGAGAGGCTTTTACTGCTGTGGGAATTTAGACATGTGACCTGCAGCCAAAAAGGGCAACACATTAACACTAATAGTTTGAAAACAGTTCTGGCCAATGTGCAGTTCCTCACATACCCTGAGTGTGTTGTATCAGAATCAGAAATCCTCTAAATCCTTACAAAATAACAGCATTAAAGGCAAACAAATCAGACAAATACCCAGCCATGGTAAAACAATTGTGCAGCATTTAAAAAGGAAATGGAAATATTAAATATACAAGTAAAAACATGAATAAATGGTGAAAGATAGAGTGAATATTGCACACAAGCAGTGGTATTGCAGTGTGTGTTATGTATGGGTAACTAACCAAACCAAGGTCACGTAAGGTTAGTGTCCATCCTGCAAGAGCCATGCTGCAGCTTAATGATGAAAGATAGCAATGGTTAACGTCATATTTGAAATATGTTATTAAATCTATCACAAATACTTTCTTTTTTATCACCCATATTCAATCTATCATTTGAAGCACCATTAGCATTTTGGATTAGCAGTCAAATGGAAAAATCAAATCCCATATCGTAATGGATCGCTTGTCTGTTATCTGCAAACCAAATCTTCCCAAATAAATCATCTGAACCTGAGACTTCTGAAAGAGCAACAACATTTTCTTACTCGATAAACATTGGGATTTTAATTGCTTGTTCCCTCTCATAAATTAAAGGTTAAAAGATGCCCTCAAATATTGGAAATTCGCTTGTTACTCGAGAAAACAGATCCATTTATTAGCAGGTCTTGAGGGGTCACAAAATCCATTCAAAGACTGATGTTCAGTGTGAGAGTGAGAGAGAGTGAACTTTGAAGTCTAACCAACCGAGAACTCGCTGGACCAGCAACTTGTCCATGTGATAAACAACCACTGCAGCGCTATTGTGTAAATTCCACTTTTTAAAGTGCTTTCATTAGATACATAAGAAACTCCTTTTCATTTCACTCTAGTGCTCCTTAAAGGTTGATAGATCTGTAACAGAATCATAAAGAAACCTGTGATTCAACACAATTTATAACGTTACCTCATCCATATAAGAAAATACGCTGTCTGTGTGAACCCACCATACTGTACTGTACGCCTGCCCACCATAAAATGCAGTGTGTGTGTGTGTGTGTGTGTGTGTGTGTGTGTGTGTGTGTGTGTGTGTGTGTGTGTGTGTGTGTGTATGTGTGTGTGTGTA